AGCTAAATAAAATCCATCTTCACTTGCCATAGTTTCCTTTTTCGCTCCCTTTTCTTACTCGTTACCCTTCTTTTTTTTTTTCTTTTTACAACATATATGAAAAAGAAAACAATCAAACATAAAACTAATACCTTCCATCAATTCAAAACCCACAATTTTTAACCCAAATAAAAAAATAGCTTAACAAAAAAAAAAAAAACTATGCATGAAAAAGAAACAATCCAAACACAAAACTGATATCTAGAAATTTCTCCAACTTAGAAATTTTAGCAAGGATAATATTTTAACAAAAATAGTAAAGAAAATTTATTTAGTAACAAAATTTTAAAGAATAAAAAATTAGTAGAAAGAAAGAGATTCACGACTTGTGACATAGTGAAGGTCGATAGCGAGAGAAAATAAAACAAAGTGGAGGTTTGAGATCATGAAGTGGTGGGCATCTAAAAGTCGACATTGAAATCTACTGTCGGTCTTCATTTCCATCTCCTATCTCTTTACTTCATTCTCTTCTTTTCTTTTCTTTGTTTTACCTGAACCTTGCATACGTTTCTCTTAATATCTAAACATAAACTTTTCGCTTCAAGTTTTTGGAAAAGTTTCTAGAAAAGCTTTCTTCAGTTTCTACAAGTAGACTATCATTTATAATTTTTTTTTCAAAATTACCTCTTAATTTTTTTTTTTACATTGCTAACCTGTCCTTTCAATACATAACGGGGATAGCTTTTATAATAGTTATAGATATTACTTTTATTTATTTTTTGACCAAATTATTATATTTAAATAAAATGCTAGGTTTAGTATTTACTACAATAAAAAATAAAAAAAAAATAGTTACATAAGAGTTTTTTAGCCAAATTTTATGATTGCTAAAATGAAATTTATACAACGGCATTTTATCATTGTAAAATATTTTTTAGTAACTACAATATTATTGTTACATACAAAATTTGGCAACCAAAATTTTATTGTTACATTAAAATTTTTTACAACAAAAATAATAATGTTACATAAAAAGTTTTGTAATCAAAATTTATTGTTATTAAAATAAAGTTTACACCGATATTTTATCATTGTGAAAACATGATTTATATGAAAACAACTAAAAGCCATTGCAATATATTTTTTTTCAACAACATAATGTATTGCATTAACTCTTTATCAACAAAGTTAATAGCAACAACAAAAAGTTGTTTAAAAAATAATTTGCAACGATAAATTGTTATTTTGCAATGATTTTGCCCGTTGTTAAATATCTACTTTCTTGTAGTATTTTTGTCATTTATGAGAAAAAATTTTGATTTTATTACTAATTTTTAATTTATTTTACATAAATAACTTTAGAGGGAGGATATTTTTGTTGTTTATAAAGAAGATTTTAAGGATATATGTTGTCTGCCATAGATATCCTTTTCTATAAGATAATATCTCATTCTCAACATGTTTCTAAATCTGTTATTATATCCTAATTCATAATACAATAACACTTCATCAAACTATAAAATTCAACTCAACTCAAAATGGTTACCAACTTTCATATAACAACTAAATTACATTAACTATATGTTCTACTTTTCACAATCAATTTTAATTTCAATATCTCCTGTATTCATCACATAATTATTTTAAATTAAACATTTCATGTTAAGAGATAAAAACACATTTATTTTTTGTAAAAATTTTAAATCATATGGATTTAATATTTTTTTAATATCATTTTTGCATATGTAGAAATTTATCGGATCACCCTACTTCAAAGTTTCTGTAGAGTCTATTCCAATACCCACTTCTGAAAGGGTAAGCTCCAAAAGTCACAATAAAATAAATTTCCAATACGTTGTGCTCTGAAATTTTCGTCCATTATGTAATTTCCAATTTCTAGAACTTTATTACTGTGCATGATACCTTTTTCGAACGTCAGAAACATAACCCAATTTGCTGCTGTAGACAACCAAGTGAGCCATTCTCCCAAAGTTCTGAAAAATAATTTATACAAGTCTATTTTAACACCAAGAATCAAATTTCATACAAATCTTTTCTAGATATAAATAGTGCTTTTACAGAGTTGTCAAACCCAAAAATGGTTATACTACATTTATAGCCAGCCAACAGAGCAATATTTCACTTCTTACCCTACACAGTTACTTTTGTCCACTGTATCACGGGTAAAATGCAATTCAATTTTTCAATCCTTCCACACAATGTTATCCATACTCTCTCCCTCATACTCGTTTTTGTGGCACACAGGAAATGCATAATATCCGAACACAGAAGAAAATGACTTTAAACTTTAATAAACAAAAAAAAAAAAAGGTTGCAAGTAGTTATCCTCTTGTTAGACAAATTTCTTTCTAGTAAAAATTTGATAAGATAACAGGTAACAGCCACTGAGTTTCTTGTTGGTTTTATCATGGATAACAGAAAAATATTCAGAAAATGGATAGCCGGATAGGAAGAAATTCAGCCAACATCTTCAATTTCATTTCCCCATTGCCATTTGCCAGCACCGAAATCATCAAATTTATAGCACATGGCATGGCTTGACAGATAAAATTGAACACATCAAGCAAAGTCTATCTCCCTATACATGTGTATCTTACAAAAACTCGTTAAATGTGTATAATAGGGAATAGATTATATTCCCATCCAAAGATACTTTCTAGTTCGAATGGATAATATTATCTTAATACTTAGATATACAGTAAAAATAAGATTGGATAGGACAACCAAAGATTTTGAGCTAATCTAAGGATACCACTGTGGTTCCAGAAGATAACAAGCGAATGAAGGAGAAAATAAACCGAATATTATCATATACCTATAAATAAAGATATTTGAATAGATTACACAATTAACGTGCCCACATCACCATTCTTCACATTTACTTCTGTAAAAGGTATGTAGGAATATGGATGGCAAATCTACTAGAATCTGTTGAGTTTTGATCCGACCTAATTTTATAGGATTTTTTTTTTAAAATCAAGTTTTGGATAGTATTTTTTTTTTTTTAAATCAGAGTTAGGTCCAAATGAGATTTTAGGTAAACTCGCCTCACATTAACCCAGTATATATATAATATATTTTTATTATTTATTTAAATTATATATTTATTATATTAATAAAATTATTATTTAATACTATAATTTAAGATATTAACTTAATAAAAATATTATATTTATATATAATTAAGATATCATTTATACTAAGAAAATAATATTTTATGAATATTATATTAAATTAAAATTGGATTGGATCGGTTGCAATTTTAAACATATGCAAGTCAAGTAGTGTCAAAATCGAATATAAATTTTATGAAGTAGGTCAGAGTCTGGAGGAACAAAAATCTACCTCAACCCATTGCTATCTCTAAGTAGGAATGAGCTAACTGGCATAATATTTCCTAGGAAATAAAAAAAATAATAATTAATTGCACTCAGGATGAGAAACCATAACTAGGACAAATCTTCCTCAAAAAAGTTTTAAAAAATGTCAGACCCACAATGTGAAAGAATCAGATATAATATACTAAGTATGCATATGGTTTTAAAAGGCATAAAAAACAAGAAAAGATGTAAGAATAAGCAATAGAAGAGCAATTGAATAATACACTATTGTGTGGTGAAAGAATAACTATCATTGAGATGTCAAAACTCCGGTGCCTTAAAAAGACCAGCAGCATTCCAAAGAGTTCCTTAATTCAACAATCATCCCAGAGAATAGACTTCAAATCCAAGGTTTACACAATTGTGCATGGAAAATGAAGAAGCATGGCGAATTAAGCTCACTCCATAAAGCATCACAATAGGTTTCTAAATCATACTAGCCTCCTTTATGCATTCAAAGAAGGCTCCTACACTTTGAAACACTTCTTAAATAATTCTCCACAGCAACAACAAAGAACAAGAAACAGAAAACTTTGAAAAGATATATGGAAAAAACCAGTGTTGTATATACCAATTCGCAGCCCAACTTCTAGTCGGGTCCATCACAGAGATTATCCTGAAAAATAAATCAGCAAATCATATTTAAAACAATGCACAAAGAGATAAGAAAGCTACATTTTTTGGTAGGAAGGAAAGAATTTTTGACCTAATGGTTGAACTACATAAACCATTATATTAAAACATTTTCTTTTCTACTATAAAAAAATAATAATAAAAGGAAAATATACCCATAAAAATTAGGAGTTGTGCAATCGACACGTGCTCATGATCCTCATCCATCTTAAAGAATGGGCAGTTTTCACATCCTGATACTGTAAACTGTAATTTAAATAGCCACAAAAACAGTGATTAAAACTCCTAAAATATGAAACTTTTGAAAGCAAGAAGAAACCCTATACGAAATAAATAAAAAAAAAAAAAACTGACCTTAGGTTTTGACGAGGCGGCAACGAAGGCAAGCCCTGAGCTCGTGTCCCAAGGTCGTCGGAATTTGAGCGGGCGCGCTTCCTATTGCTTTTCCGCTATCGTTCGTAAGTATTTCCGGGTTTCAGTCTTAAATAACAAAAAAAAAAAAACAATGGGAAGGGTTGTAAGATTTTTGCTAGATTTCTGATTTTTCTTTTCGTTTCGGGACTGAACCAGTTATAATACAGACAATGAAACGATGCGAGAGAAGTGACCGAAGGAGAAGAAGTAAGTGGAGCTTTTTAAGATCGGCCGATGTCAACCACCATGGCCCAATTTCAAAACCAGATTTCTTGAACCCAATGACCAATAACCCTAGCCCAATTTATAGTCCCATTTCGTGGAGGCAGGTACTAATAGGAGCCATGTTTACTAGATAATCCGCACGTTTAGGTGAAAATGAAAAATAAATCAAGTAAAAATAGAGATTATGCTTTTTTTTTAAAAAAAAGTTATTTGCAGTCAGACTCATGGGAAGTGTTTTTTAAAGACATAAATACTTTTAAATTATCTTAATTTTATAATTTTAATTTGGCTTTTAATTAAACTTATCAACTGAAATGATGTCAGTCATTTCAAAAAATAAAAGTTGAGAATCAATCTAACAGTTCACTAACCTACACCAGGATCAAAGACAGTGAAGGAATCAAGCAGAATGTATCCTAGCAGTAGCAGATTGCATTTGGCCGTCTGCCTGCTTTTTGAATGTCAAAGAACAGAAGCAAATAATTGCAGGATTTAGACAAACGTTAATGAAGGTGTTACAACTTGAGAAATTATTTCACAACACATAAATTGTTTCAACTCCTTCCATTACAGTGGTGGGTGCCACCATTGCTCTGGTTTCTGTGTTTCGGGTTAAAATGATCTAACCCCCAAATCCGAATTGTTCGGTCATCACTAGCTGAAGCCAGCATATGAAGGTTTGCTGGATTCCAGCTTACGCAGTTAACGGCACCAGAATGTCCAGGCAGTGCCACTAGTAGCTCCGCCGAGCATCGGTGCCATATGTACACCTGCAACAAGAACCATACAGCTTCATTCTTAATGCAGAGACATCTTGATAGCAACAGAACATGAACATGCATATGCGTAACTTAATCTATGATAAAAGCAATAACTAGAATTATAGTAGTTAGGAACAAACTCAGAACAGGAAATGACAGTTGATCCCACTAGAGTGAATATTTAAAAGGCTGAACATCAATCTGTTCACAGAAAAACATACATCTCAATGACACCAGCAGACTGTTCTTGGACTTCAACTTCAACTGACCAAAGCCAACTAACTTGTTAAAGTATCAAACAGAACAAATTATGCAGATAGCTAGCTACCATTAGGAAAACAAAAAAAAGTAACCTCTATTATCTTCGCCTAAAGTTGCTTGTTATCGAATCATTTTCATGACATAAAAAGACGACTACCTGTGAATCCTCGCTACCACTGGCTATAAAAGCTTGCCCAAGTCCACCAAAACAAGATCTGATAACAAATCGGGTACGTTTGTGACCTTTGTAGCTTGACACAAGTTTTGGATCACCTTCTATGTTCCAGAGATGGATTTCTTGGTTTATAAGATTAACAAGTAAGAACTTGTTGTCTTTTGATAATGAGAATGAAGTAATCATGTCCACCTCTTCAATCAGTCTCTCAAATTTGGCTTCCCTGTCAAGCAATAGTATAGCAGATTCTCTGCATATGCTTATGATTCTCTTACCATCATCAGTTATGGCCATATCTGAGATTCTAAGAGCCCTCTGTCCTTTCCACCATTCCAGCTCTCTTCCATCCAAATCCCAGAGGCAGATGCTCCTGTCTGTCATCCCAGCAAATATTCCTCTACCATCATGAAACCATCCACAAGAAATCAAACCAACACCAGGTTTTTCATAAACATGGAGGCATTCTCCAGAGCTGACATCCCAACGCCTAATAACCTCCTCTAGTCCACAAGTAAGGATTTGACTATCATCTGGGCTCCATGAAATGGTTGATACTGGTTTTTGATGACCACATAGGGTATGCTTGAGTGACACCTGACCATTTTCTTTAACCTAAAATGTTAAAAATGATAATTTTATTAAAAGAGGATGGTTTGGAGTTGCATGCATGATTATCAGCATTGTAGGATATGCTAAAACTGCATATCAACTTCAATATAATCATTTTAAAACACACAATTTCCTCAGAATATTCTTAAGTCTAGCTCAATTCATACCCACAAAAATCCCTAGTTATGGATTCATGGCCAGTGGTTCAAACCTCAGCATTGACTAGGCCCACTAACAACATTTGATGAAAATGACACACATAAATATATGCATGCTAGTATGCAAAAGAAATATGAATATTTCTGGTTAATTATTTCTGGTCCAATAACATGGGAACCATTGATGTCGCATAGCACAAGGTGTCTACCCATGCCCAACATTGTTCAGTCATAAATTATTTATTATCACTGAAACATAACAAGTAGTTAACCAACTTTAGCACATAATCTTATCCATGATTCTTCTTTTCCCCACAACAATAAGAAATTCTAACAAAAAGGGAGGAAAAGGGGACAAAGGGCAAAATCCCACAAAGGAGTGCTGCTTAGCTAGCTAAACACAAGTACCTTGGATTAGGACATAAAAAGTCAAGGCAAAGCCAATTAAAAAGAAAAGCTTACCTCCCATATAATTGCCGACTGATCCTTGGATGATGAGGCCAAATACTTGCCATTATGTGAGAATTGCAAAAACCAAACTTCATCATTGTGTACTTGTAGTATCTGTATTCATTGATATAAACAGAAAATTTTCACACTGGCATTCTTTTTTTAGCTGATGAGAATCAAATGCACAGTACACATTATGATTGACACTATCATATACTATTAGAAAAGCAGCTAAAGGTAAGGCTCTTGATCATAACATTAAGATGAACTTAACAGCAACAGTAAGAACACCAAAAGAATAAAAGATGGCTGCTGAACACAGCTGGACTCCTAATCAAAGGAGGCAGCTTCTCTACAGCCTATACCATGAACCAACACAAATAACTGTTTCAACATGCTAAAGACTTGCTAAACTAAGTAACCAGCGGAATATATTATACCCTAGACCCAAAAGATGAAGTTCAATTTATTATCTGTTAAGAGATAGGGCCGCTATAAGGGAGTGCAAAGGTAGTGAATTAAACTTCCATCAACTTGAAAAAGACTAACCTGCAATGTCTGGGAAGGAATTTGATTTTTCCCACACTGGTGATCTGAGTACAAAGAGAGTTCACTATCTGAGGTATTATGGAACAAGCAAGCCGCTCTTTGAACATCAAGAGCCCTTTCAACAAGATGCTCTAACCTTTTTTCAGGAATCATGACTGCAGCAGGAAACAACTTTTGTAGTTTTTCTAGAATCTTTGACCTTGACTTTGTCACCTCAGTTTCTTGACCAGAAATCCCAAGTCTTACACATTGGAAAGGAGAGATGATACAGGCAGCAAGGTCATGAACGCGGTTCAGATTGACATGAAGAGGCACAATCTCATTCCTTAGTGTTTCCAATGCAGCCGTGACTTTTTCCACTTTCAGAAGTTCAAGAAACTTTTGTTCCAATATCAAGAAAGATGCTGATTTCACAATTGTTTCATCCGAGAGACCAATCATATGCAATGTAGCCACACTATCATCCCACTTCCCATCTGTCACTTGCTGCATAAACTGAATAACCACTGAAGAATGCAATGGTACTCCTGATTCCTCCTCTAGAAGGGCACCACTTTTGTTATAACCGAGTGAGTACAATGCCTTAGTTATAATTTTGATAAATTCTGTTTTTTTTATAACACCTTGCGAACCAATTGTTTCCCCATCTCCTTGGGAGGTTAGAGGCCTAGCCATCTGGTCTTCCAAAGAGCAAGAAACAGGTTCTGCAGTCGAATTATACTCAGGCAAGCTCTTTGGTTCTTCCAAGAGCCCTTTCACACGTTTCAAGGGTGGTTCACTATCTTCAATGACTCCCATGAAATGCCCAACTCAGCCCATAAATTTCCTACAAGTCAAAAAGCAAACAAACTATGATAGCATTAGCATTTGAGTAGTAGCCAGATAAGAAAATACAGTGTAAAAGCTCCACAATTTAATATGAATAAGAAGCCTAACATTGCGCATTTAATTGATTGAAATAACAGTATCATTGCAATATAACAGCAAAAGAAAAGTTCCAATCAACAGTTTTCTAAAGATAGAAAAAGGGGATAGAAAATTAGTTGAAAGCAGCAAATGAAAAAAAAAAAAAAAAAACTATGGCACTTCAGTTGTGAGGCTTAAGGACTCATTTGACTAAGACAAGAAATACATTAAACTTAGAAGATTATTATGATCATTTTTGTACTATAATTAATCAAATTAAATCAAAACAACACCACCGTTTAACTGATGCAAATTATTTGTTTCACAGTAATTTTCTCATAACATAATTAATTGCTTCTTTATTAAACCATAATTGCTAAAATGGAGAATAAAAAGTAAGAAAAAACAAAAAGCCTCACCAACCTCCGAAGATGGAAAAATATAATTTAAAAGAAGAAAAGAAAAGGAAAACTTCTAGTCAATTTTTATATTTATGATAAGTATAAAATTAAATTAATTAAAATATTTTATTAAAAGAAAAAAAAAACTTTCATAGATAGACAGGCAAATTCAATGATGAACATAACAAAAATAAGAATTTCCCAAGAAACAATTCGTGAAGTACGAAGATAAATAATAAGAGATTATAAGAATTATAATCCAGGAAAAACAATAAAGAAATGAACTTTTTTTCTTTTTTTTTTTTGGAAAAAGGAAAATAATTACGTACCGGAAGGCATTCCCAGGGAGAGGAAACAGGAAAGAAAGGGAGGACGCCAAAGAACCAGTTGGAAATAAAGAGAAATGTGAAGGGAAGAGGGGAAGAGGGGAAGAGAAAGATTGAAAAAGGAGAAATAGAATACGCAAAGCGCTACCACCCAGAGCTATGTATAGACCATAGGGAACAGTGATTACTAAAATACTTTTTTTTTTTCTTTATGATTTTGTTTTTGCAGTCGGCAAATGGCAAAAAATAAAAATTACATATGGGATTAGAGATTAGATTAAAATTTAGGTTTTAAAAAATAATATAAGAAAGAGAAGAGAGAGACCAAGACTTCGGCTTTAAGGCAATGTTGGTTTCCGGGTTCGGCTTTTAAGGCTACGGTGGAATATCAGTAAAAGTATTAACATTGATGCGATTAAAAGCCATACCGATAATGAGATTAGATGCAATTGAGTATTATAAAGAGAAAATTAAAATTATTAATGAATATATATATTTGAATGTAAATATAATTATAATGATAAAATAATTTTTTATTTTATATACATGTAAAATCTTTTAATTTTTATTTTTACATTAAAATAAAACAGTTGACTATCTTAGAATCCAATAATTTCAATTTGGTACTTTTTATTTAATCTGACACCAATTACATTATGAGATGTTATCTAATAATTATATCAAGAGATATTATGCGTCTCACGGTTAAATCAATTACATTGTGAGATGTTATTCAATAATTAAATGTTTTATAAATGCATCCCACAATTAAATTAACCCAAAAAAAACTACTGATTTTATGGAATCTAAATACGCCTTAAATTTCGGGTTCCAAACACGTGGGATGTTGCTGCCGTTACAACAGACAATTGCTTCATGTTGCTGGCGCTGGGTGTCGTGCGATACAAGCCTGCGCGAAATGGCGGTTTAGTCATGTTGTTTAGTACTTGTTTAGAGTTGCACTGGGCTTGGACTTGGATTAATCAGCAAGGATTCGATTTTATTTTAGTAGTGGTATCAAAATTGCTTTCTTCCTCCTGTTTTTCTTACGTGGAAGTGAGAACCAGAAATGTTTGTGATAAATGGTCGTGTCGTGTAAGTAATCTTTTACTGCTGCAAAGGCCATGCAATAGAATTGAATATTGAAAATATGAATTTTGCGAAAGGCATTTAACATGCATGTGGGTGTGGCATCACCTACACAAATCAATATTCCTTTCTTTTTACTTAGGAAAAAAAAAAAACCCACAAATATTTTTTTAACAAATGAGTGGAAAGCATCGTTACCAATCTTTGTTATTGGTTTGTGTAGTAAGTCATGGATTTGCATAATAATTATTTGTGTCTGGGTATTTTTTTTTAATAAACTTTTAATCTATTTTTGAATATTTAACTTTATATTTACCTAATTGAAAAAAATATTATATATATAAACTTTTTCAAACTTGTAACTTTTAATGCTAATTCTAATATCATTACTTTCCATTTGGGTCACGTATCGTATTTTCAGTTGCTTTAACTCCTCAAACCTTTTGCAATTTATTAAAAATGGAATAACTTGGTTTGTAAGCACAAGGGAAAATGAAAATACAATTTAAACACCCTCTACCTACTTCTACAAAGTCTTTTCAACAATCGGGTTCCTGTATAAAACAATAAAACTTTACTGAAATTAATCTAAATAAAACTTTTATGAGATATCAAACAAATTGACGGTTGTATGCAAAAAATTATCAGAGAAAAATGAATACATATGTAACAATAGCCCTACAGTGTTTAGATCCATCACACTGGTTGCTCCCAATGCTCATGCCCTGTCAGTACACTTAGCCAGAACATTGAAAGATCAGAATCAAAGGCCAGAAGGTCAATTGGATGAAGCAGCAGTCTGGTTGGCCCTTTCTTTCACCATGGTCTTAACAAAGAGCTCCCCTGCTCTATATGAGGATCGAACCTGCAAAAACGGAGTGCATGTAAGAATTTGCTTACACATTATGCAGTATAGAATGTCTTAATGGATGAACTTGAGCATAAGTTAGTATAACAAAAATGGACAGTTAAAGAGAAATAGTGTCTCGAGAAGTGATGCATGGTAGACTGGTAGCAGACTCTTCAATCCATAGCCAATTTCAAAGAAACTCATATAACATTTCATTAGAACAAGAAGTTTCTCTGACAACTTGGATCGGGTGAGTACAAGTCCCTTTCTATGTTCATTCAATGGTGATTGAAATCCATGAAATACTAGTACGACTACCTATAGCAATGATTTACAAAGAGCTTACCAGAGGCCCGCTAGCTACATAACGAAATCCAATCGACTCCCCATATTCCTTCCAGAAAGCAAACTTTTCAGGTGTAACATATTCTTTGACAGTCAAATGGAGTGGTGTTGGCTGCAGGATACAAGTGCATTTAAGTTACAATGATCATAATGCTGATACTGATAACTCATAAAGTGACAACTTGAGCTCAATTAACTCAAGAAGAACAAAAGCAGGAGGCACTAATCATGAACAATCTTTTGCCCAACATGAAAATTACCATCAACTAATCATGGGCAAACAGCTAGATCACCCGAAATAAAGGTGTGACATAGGCAGGATTCAAGCTAACAAGGTTCTATGCGCCAGCCAAAGTCCCCATGCTAGGGCATTTACTTATGCTAGACTGTCTTTGCATATAACATTTACCTGTAGATATTGTCCAAGTGTAAGAATATCAACATCTATAGCCCTTAAATCAGCAAGGGCTTCCTTTAACTCTTCATCAGTTTCACCAAGGCCAAGCATTATAGAAGATTTTGTTATCATTCCTTCTTTGCTGAGCTTTGCATGTCTCAGAACTGACAAGCTCTGCTCATAACTGCAACATTAAACAATGTAGACTCTTAACTAGCTAGTTCAAGCACACTGATTTCATTCTCAGAAAACTAACTTCAAAATTGAAACATGGTTTGCTAAAATGCTAAAATACCCAGTTCTCTAAATCCTTTAGAAGCCATCATATTGCCTCAATATGTGATTGCCAAACATGTAATAGTTCCATAATTCACTAAAGTGCTAATGCAAATTTCATTCATGCTTTAAACCAAAAAAAAGAAAAGAATAAAGTAAATAAATGCAAAGCATTTTTTCTTTCATGGTCCAACTATGCTAATTAGGAAGTACTTAAGTCAAACTTGATCACATGTACAAAATAATCCTCGATGCCTAGCATCAAAGTTGCACCTAAATAATTTCTTCGGTTAAGCAGTTTTCCAACAATGTTAATTGGTTGAAACTACATAAGAATCTAAAATCTTCTCACAAGAAATGTTGTAAGACAGGCCAACTACAAGCTTTGGAGTATTTTCCCATGAATTAAAAATTAATCGTATCTCACTGTGTAGGATTGTCTAAAGATCAGCTTCCTCTCCAAATTGAATCCAAGTTCAAAATTCAGTCCATGTCTAATTCCCGTTAAAGATTAGCTCTATTGCTCCAGAAGTGGGCCGTGGATGGTAACAAAGATCTGGAAATTGCATAACTACTAAGAAAAACCCACAACAGTATAGGAAATTAGTTTTTCTTTTTTAAACTCTAAGGTGAAGAAATACTAGAAATAGCTCTTTTAAATCTTTTGCTGTTTGAAGTAACTATGTCAATGCCTTAACACCTTCATAGTTGAAGTGTAATGATTCTGTCCAACATCATGGATGAGTGCACAACTTACCCAGCCCGAGGATCCCTGACAATTCTTTGTAGCCGTTTCACAGTTTCAATGTTGTGAGCAAAGACATCTAATTCTGAGTGTACCAGAGTGTCTATAGCTTTCAAATCACCTTGGAAGTCAGAAGTTAAACACTCAACCATGATCTCTGTCTTAAGTTTCTGCACATAGTCAACAAACCCATCAAAATTCCATTTACATTCCAATCTCTTCCTTGGGAATATGCATAAAAAACCTATGAACAAAAAGCAGCTGAATGATATCACAAGTTGGATAAACAACCTTCATTGCTTGGACTGTCTGAGCAAAATGTCCACTTCCACCATCAGGTAAATCATCACGATCTACACTAGTCAAAACAATGTAATCCACACTGCAGATATAACAGCACGGAATCATAAATTATGCTAGTACTCTTTAGAGATGAACTAATACACACTGAAGATGCGTAATGGTGTGTGGTATAGAATATGAATATTAAGCATTGGGTAAAAGAAGCATAATCAATTCTGAACAAAGGAAGCTAAACAAGGCAAGTAATAAATGACAAAAACCTTTACAAAGCCTACCCCCAACTCGCAATGGCCTTAGCTGTATTTTCGGGTTCCATGGGGTCAGGCGGTGCCGGGTTCCTACTGGTTTTAACAGCACAAAATCGGCAACCCCGTGTGCAAGTATCCCCAAGCAACATTATTGTTGCAGTTGCAATGCCATCCCCACCCCCATTCCAACACTGTCTTGCAAAATTAATTACTTAACAGTTAAAAATACTGCTTATTCACTTAAAAAAAAGTTTAAAACAAAAAAAAAATAGAAAAGAGAGAAATACCTCTCCAATGTTGGGGCACTGTGCTTCTTCGCAAACAGTATTGAGATTCAAGCGAGAGAGAGATTGTTTAACCTCTTCAAACCTCTGCCCTTGAGGAGCTTTCTGCCTCAGCCACTCCGGCTTCTTCACGTTAGGATCTCTGCCCGTAAAAGGCCCCATCTTTGGAATCCCACCTGGGTAAGGCCCGTTTTTGGAGCCCGAGTCCATCAGCTTCGTTGATTGCGGTCTTTCGACATCAATCTTCGACGCTGAATCTAAAGATTCACATCGGATTTTCACCTGTGAATACGACCATGATGGTTTATGAGGTTTTGGGATGGGAATTGAAGCTGAGATTGAAGGTTTTGACATCGGTACCTGCATTTTAACTTCTTCAACAACAAACTGGAAAATGGAAATAGGGAAACAAGTTGGAAGAAAAGCCAATGTTAAAGTGTTAAGAGCATACAAGGTAGATTTTGGTTTTGCAGGAGGCCATTGCTTTGATTTGTCCGCCCAACAGTAAACATAAGTTAACTTGTTTTGTTTTCTTTAGTTTGTGGGTCCTGTTCTGTTAAGTCCGGTAGTTGGCCAGTCGGATCTGAAAGTCTGAAATAGCTAAAACCTAAAAACCAAAAGCACGGACTTTCCTTCTAGTTCTCGACTCGTTCGCTTGTTCAGCCAGGTTTGGTTTTACTGTTCCTCGGTTTTACCTCCCAATGGTAGTTTTCACAGCCCAGCCCATTCTCTAGAGAAATTATCAATCTACAAATACATTAACAGGAGTTTTTTAACTCTACGAATGATCCTTAAAGCATATTAAAAAATAAATAATTAAAAAAATAATATGTATCTGTTTCTTAATTTCATTTATGAAATTAAAAAATTTTATTGATAATATATTAAATAATTTCTCTTATAATAAAATAAATTCAAAAATTATACAATACACTATTGATTTCTCAATTATAATCACAATTTTAAAATATTGATATAAAAATGATTTTTTTTAAAGAAACATAACAAAAATCAAAATCTCCCGATTATGGGATTATTTCTTTCAATCCTACTAAAACAATCCCATAACTAAAGGTATCTGCTAAGTTAAATAGTCCATGATATGATATGAATATAAATATATCATATCAAATATGATTTATACACTTGTGTTATGTTGAGCTAAAGATTTTGGATTCATTGAACTGGCATGACACAACCTATTAAGGGCTAATGCTAACACATGCCACAAGTGTTAATGTGCCATGCCGTGCTTATGCATAAATATCATAAACGGATATAATCTGTTGTTCTTTAGTTATATTTTATGTTACTTTTATCACATTATGAATTTTTTTATATACTTCATATTAATAGTTTATAAAAATTAAATTGTATTAATAAATCTACTTATAAAATATTTAAACTATTAGTAGATAAAATTACAAAATTTTCATTTTAATTTATCATTTTCTAAAAAGATACTATAAAATGCATATTAATTAACAATTGATTAAGAAAAACTCGAGAATAAGACAAAACACATGTTATAAATAAATCATATGATGAAAATAAAATAAAAATAATTATGTAGCATCTATATTTATTTTTTAAATTTAAAAATGTAATATTAATAATTGTTAACTTCTATATTATTTTAGTAAATCCTTTTAACTTTTACCGGTAAACATAGATAATTTTTTTAAACCACACAAATTATGTGCCTTACATATTAATTTCATATATTATTTTTTAAAGATAATTAAAAAACAAAAAAAATCTAAAAAAATACAAATTAAAAAAACTATTAATGGACCATTTTTGGCCCAATACGATACAAAATAGTGTCATGCTAAGCACGACACGCTATGGGCTATGGAAATGTCCCATGTGAGGTTTTATCTTATAGTTTTCATAACCCATTCCGATACGACACATTAAATGATAATCCTGAATTGGTACAATGCATTAATACTTGAGCTAATTTTTAATGGTTCACATTGATCCAGCTCATTTGACACCTCTGCCCTAGTAACTCTAGCAATTCCAAGATACAAAATATCACGATTCTTACACAAGTTTGATGTTCATTTGAAATTGACCTACCACATAAGTTATGAACTCACCAAAATTTTAGGAAGTAAATATCCCAGAACAACATTGCTTACTAACATCTATTGTGGGTAAGTTTTTGGGTAGGGACGGAACCCTGTTGGTATCCTCAATTTTTTCTTTGCACCAAAATTCATTGTGGTTACGATGGCATGATGGAATCAAACAGCACTAGATGAATCCTCACTGGGATCTTCTGAATCTGAACTATCAACCATCTTCTCAAGTGAATCCATATCCCCAACTTCGGAGAAAGTGTGCAGCCGAAGTTTGTCTGCATCCTCGCTAAAATATAGAAAAAGAGAGAAAAATTAAATTGTATTTCGTACAAGGTATAAGTCCTGACATTTGTTTGGACTATGCCATGAATGTGGAATAAGGAAGGTGATATGAAACACAGCATTTGCTAGTATGTCAACTCCTTTCCATCATTTTTGCAGGAACTAAATGTAGAATGAAACAAGTCTTACTCTGTAACCCCAAATATTTCCTTAACAATTAAGGAGCTATCTCTCCAACAGAACTCTGGCAACTGGAACAAAAGTTTCAACAAAAACATAATCAATTTAATGTCATGCATAAAGAAAAAGAAATGATACGTTAACCTAGCATTAACCATGCAAATATGTTCAAAAGCCTCAGAAAATAAATAAAATATAAATAAACAAATAAATGGTCACTCAGAATGTAAAGAGCCAGATTCTAGAACTAATGGATTGGTGTAGTTCTGTAACCAGAGTATTTGACAATGAGAATGCCACATGCTTGTTTGGTGCAAGATGATTTTAATCATTCTTCTTACTGCATTCCAGAGTCATGTTTTCTTTGTCATACTTTTACTTTTAATAGTAGTCAGACTTCAAGACTAACATCCAAATATTAGTTCAGTATATAAACCAAGTCATCCTTTTTTTCTCTATCATTTCAGAGACAATTAGACAGACATCATTCAACAGCCCATAATACTTTGCATGTCAGTCAACAGTGTCAAGCAACAGCACATCTTCAAGAAAGCTTCAAAACTGCTAATAATTCATCCAAGTATTTTAAAAAAATGTTACTGAATATTACCAATCACAAATCAAATAAAAAATACATCAAATGATCAAAGACAGTAACAATCAATGTATATACTATTGATTTGAGTAAGAAATGCACACAAAATCCAACAGAAAAGAAGGCATTAGGAAAGAGGATTAAAGCTTCCTGTTCAAAAAAGTACCTCCGATAGATATAAAACCTTTCCAAAAAGGCCCTGCACAGCAAGTTTCCTCTTAAATCCTTTTTCTGTAAACCCTGACATGTCCATGACAACTGGGCCTGAAAAGTAAAGAAAATTTATCAGCATCAGATACAAAACTCACACATGAAATTATGAATCAGGTAAAATTTCACAAGAGTGCATAAAGCACATCTAAAAGGACATCAAAGCAATTTGACAGCCCTTGACTAAACCAAAAGTAAAACTTAAACCACTAACACACATATGATAAGACAAGCATATTTTACCACCAGTGAATTTCAAGACATGATATATTGGATGACTTTAAGGCAATGACCAATGCCTTATCAACATTTTCAGAAATAATTTTCCAAAAAAGTATCATTATCAAAACCACCTATATTTTGCATCATTTATAGTTACCAGACACAAAAAGAACACCGTAGCACATATTATCAATATAAAAGGAAATGGTCCATTTCCATCCCAGGATCACAGTCACAAGTAAGGGAAGTAGCAGTGCTGAAAGTTACCTTTTTCACGCACAATCCGTCTTGAGATTTCGTTTAAAATTTCAGCAACCTGGGAATCATCCAGCATAGAAACTTTCCTGAGCTGGATCAAGCTGCCAACCAAATCTGCAGTCCATGGCTTCTCATTCAATGAATACCTAATGTACTTGCGCACAATCTCCTCCATGCTAAAACCTGTCTGGATATGGATTAGCAGTTGCTATTAAAACTCAACTGACATGCATAGTACACATTAAAATAACAACAAAAGCTTTCCATGTAAGATACTTGTTATATAGGTTGGAGGGATATTTGCACAATTGGTCTCACCTTTTGCACTGATCCCTTTAGTGCTGATTGATCTACAGCATCACTTCCGTGCTGAAACAACTCATCTATTGATTTGCAAAGCATTGCATTTTTATTAACCTGAAAATCCACCACCTCTTAGTGCAAAACAATTGAAGAAATATGTAAAATCAATTTCAAAATCCACATTAAAACCCAAATTAATTACTTGAAAAACCCAATTTAAGATAATAAAAATTGTGGTCTAACCAACTAACCAATTTCTTTCTTTTGTGCCTAGGAGAAGTGAACTTCTTAACAGTCTTGACAAATGCAATGACAAAAGTGATACCAGCATAAGCCAAAGGAGCAGCAAGAATCCAAGGCAAAGAGCTGGTGCCAACTCTGGGTCCAGGAATGGTTTGAGTAACAGAACCAGTGAACTCAACAAGGTCCAATGCCTTCTCTTGAATCCACGGCAACTCCTCCTCAACTTCCACTTCCACTTCCACTTCTTCCATGTCTTTCCCAACTACTTGTTTATTGTTTTCTTTTGGTTTTTTCGACGGCGCCGCATTTCCGCCGCTCTTCACCGCCGCAGCGGTAAGAGATTGAGATAAGTTGGGTCTTGTTCTTGGGGTCAAACAAGGGATTGACAAAAGAGTTGGGAAGGGATGGGTAGAACTTTTGGGTCGAGAGAGGAATTGGGAGGAAGAGTAAGAACAAGTGAAGGAAGGAGAAGTAGAAGAGGAAGAAGCAAGAAAGGCCATTGGGCAATTGGAAGTTTGGTTTCAAACTTTGAGCAAATAATCCTTGCCTCGTGAGTAACACCCGCTAAACCCAGAGCCAAAGCCGCCAACCCCTGCCATACGATGTGCAAAAGGTTTATGGTTAGGGATGGGTAAATCTCCAAACAAATTACTCAAAATTAATTAATTAAATTATAATATTTTATTTTTAATTATTGAAATGAGTTTACTAATTTTAAAATTTTAATCTATCTAATTAATTTGATTAATTTTTATATTAATTGAATAATAAAATGTATTTAAATTAAATTATATTTTAAATTCATAATTTTTCATATTAAAAACAAATTAAATATAATCATTTAACAATTATTAAATTATTAAATTAAAAACTCTAATAATTTATAAAAAAACAATTCGTTTAATATATTTTTAATTTTATATTTTAATTAAATTTTAAATTAATTCAATTAATAAAAAATTTTAAATCAAATTAAACAAAAATTAAAATTTTTTTAAAATTATTTTCATTATACTAATGAATTAATTCAATAATGAATTAATTATTCGAATTAAATTAATTTAATCGATTAATTTTATTAAAATAAAAATATGAACACTTCTATTTATTTTTTATTTGATTTATTAAAAAAACACCGAAAACAAAATGATGCAAACGGGTTAAAGGTTATTTAATTGTAAAAATAAGTTTGATTCAAGGATACTTCCCTCAAAATACAATAGCCAGCCAATTTTACGATGGAAAGTGTTTTACGCCCCCATTAATTACTCTTAACTCTCCATTTCATTTTATACCTCAAATTCAAAACTTAAAAATAATATTTTATTCATTACAATCCATATCATCCTTTAATATTCCTTTCCTTCTCCATTCTCATTCAACACAAACCCTCAAACTCAAATACCAAATATTATTTTAAAAACTTCAATCTAAATAGGAGTTAATTTACCTTTGATTTTGTTAATTTTTGATTAAATGTTGAATAAATTTAAATTTAAAACAAGATATTATGTTTGATATCTGAAATAAATATACGTAATGATTCATGTGTTTATATTATGTAAAATATTAAAATTTATATATTCATATCATATTTTATATGAAAATTATATATCATAATTTGCATTAATATGAAAATATAAATTTTTTTTTTAGATTTGTTAAAACTATATATAATTTTTATTAAAATTTTAAATTGTGTCAATTTTATTTTTTTATATTATATTTTTCTCATTTCATCGTATCATATTTTAAATTATCAAATAAATAAATTAAAAACTTTCATATTTGCATTTTCGGAAGTTTGTAAAAATTTTCAAACATGTGAATCAGAAAACTTGAAAAACAATAAAAAAAAATACAAATCCATAAGCTTTTGAAAAAGGCAAATAAAACTTTCAAAAATGTAAATTCAGAAAATTAAGAGGAAAAAAGATAAAAATTAAAAATGGTGTAGAAAGGGTTGAAAGGTAATTAAATAAAAATTAATAAAATAATTTTATTTAAGAATATTTTTGTAATAAAAAATAAAATATGAGAAATATTTCTTGAAGTGTAAATAAAAGCTCTCTTTTGTCGTAAAGGTGCAACATAATTGTGCAACCTTACAAAAGTTTATTCCAATGCTGGCACAAATTAACTATAATAAATAAAGATAATCAAGCTTAATTGTTTGTTTCAATTACGCAGAAAAGATTGAAATATACAAGCAAGAAACCTTATTCCAACTTTCTCATAACACACAACAAAAAATTCCACATAAATTTGAAAAAGATATAAAGAGCTAATGAGTAACTAAAAGAAATTTGCCTATCTAAAAAAAGGTTAAACTTTTAATTTAAGATTTATGTTTTGATTTTTTTTAATTGAGAATATCATTTTTAATTTGATTTAATACAAAATTTAATGTTTTCAGATTAATCCAAAATAGTTTAACATATCAGCTGCATAATGCATGTACAATTAAGTTCAATTTTTGTTAGATTAAACCATTAAATTCTTTTTTTAATAAAAAATGCTAATTAATTCAAAATTTAATGAAAGAAGAAAACAAAATTAGGAAGCAAAACTTAAATCTTTTTAAAAGACGATTTTATTTGATACATTGATAACTTATACATTTTATATACTATCAATCAACTAAATGTTGTCACCTCATTAATGAAAAATTTAAAATATTTAGAAGCCCTCAAAGATAAATCTCTTTAAATTTTAATTGTTTAGTTTGAAAAACTAATTTACTTTTCTACTTTCTACAAAAATTTAATCATAACTTAGAATTTTTAAATTAATTTGATAAATCTATTTATGAACTTTGATGAATTCTTTAAACTTGAGAGTTCAAACTTTGTAAAAGTGAATATTACTATTGAATAAAAATAATATTCAAAGTCATAATTATAACTAAAAATATTGGTAAGGGGAAAATTTCACTTTGATTTAAATAATTTAACCCAAAAAAACCTAGCTACCATTATGATCCATGTCAACCATAACTAGCCACCACTCTAACCATCACATTTGACCTTCAAGAATCATTAATGAAGGAGTAAAGGCACTAAGGCTTTTTTGTACCCTAACCAAAAAACAAGCTATCAATCTCCTCCAAGATACTCCACAATCTCTATGATCTATTTTTTTTTTTTTGTTACAGATCAAAGATGCCATCACCATGGAGTCTGATTCAATGATTAAGGCTTCTTTCTTATATCACTGTGAGTTCTTAAACATTTCCATTGCTTTTTTTACAACTAATAGCTCTGTCATATTGGAGTCTTGAATGCTTAGAAGACCATAAAAAAGTCCTCTAATATCACTCTTAGAGTCTCTTAAAACACCTTCACATCCAGATGGGCCAAGCTTGCCCCTAGCTAAGTTGTCATTGGCTGAGCCATCATCATTTCCTTCTTCTCTTCCTATTTTGAAATTCAATGTTGGCTCAACCAGGGGCAAGCCTGGCCTATCTAGATGTGGAGGTGTCTTAAGAGACACTAAGAGTGATATCAAAGAACTTTTTTATGGTCTTTTAGGCATTCAAGACTCTAACATGGCAGAGCTTTTATTGTAAAGAAAGCAATGAAGATGTTTAAGAACTCATAGTGGTATAAGAAAAGAGCCTTAATCATCGAATCAGACGCCTTGGTGGCGGTATCTTCGATCTGCAACAAAAGAAACATACTATAAAGATTATGGAGTATTTTGGGGGAGATTGATAGCCTGAAGGAAAATATTAGAATGGTGGATTTTGTGCACACTTACAAGGAAGCAAACTCCTTTGCAGATGCATTAGCTAGAATAGGGTGGAGTCAAATGAGTTTTTTCATGCTTGGCTATAATCACTCTATTAAAAATCTAGTTGGTTTAGAAGGCCCAAGATGTGTTATTAGCAATTACATCAAAGGTGGAGGTTAACTAGAAATGTTTTTTATAAATGTAATCGATCTTGCTAATGGAGTTTTATTGATCTAATAAAAATTCCTATTTTGGCTAAGAAAAAAAAAGGAAAAAGCTAACATCAAATTAGATCCCTAAATTTAGTTTTTTATAAATAGCCAACAACATGAGAAATCTCTAAAGTCTTAATTTCAAGCCTATCATTTCATCATCTCCTTCCCTTTCAATTTATTCCATATCTTTCTCATTTATTTTCGTTTAGCTTTTGCAGCAAATTTCTCCATTGTAAATAAAGGGAATGAATTCCATATCATGTTTTTTTCTCATTCACCAAATCACAACAATAAATAATATAAGTCAATTAACTTTTTTTTCAATAAAATTTAAAGATATTTATCTTTGACGACTTTTAAATTTTTAAAATTTTTTATTAATGAAGTGATAGCATTTAATTAATTAATAGTATATGAAATATATACATAGTCAGTGTATCAAATGTTTACCCCTAACAATTTTAAATCATTAACATTTTTATGTTGTTCAATTACAAGAATATAAATAAACTTCTTGAAAGTAAAATAATTATTAAAAAACCTCAAATTAGCAAATTCCAAGTTAAAACTTCAAACATGTAAAATCCAAATTAAAAAAAAAATGAGGGGCTTGTTGTATTCACTAGGAAAGTACTTTGGAATATGTGATTATCAAATTTACTAGAGCCCTAAAGGAGGAAATCGGAGGAAATCAAGGTCATAAATCTTTATAGGAGAAATTCTGAGAACAGTCATGCCAATTGTCTTAATAGTTAATTTCTCTATCTTGGTTCGATAAGAAAAGATGGGCATCTATACCTAAATATGAAGCAAGCACCACTATCTAGAAATCACCATTTAACAAAGTTCTCATTTTTTCTTCTTCGATTTCTTTTGCTTCCATAAGTTAAGGTCTTGGCATGACAACCTTATTGTTCCTCTTTTTTATAAACCACCTAATAGTTCTTTTTCTTAAATTAAAATAATACAATTGAAAATTGTAAAATCCCTTTTTTATTTTTTTTTAAATCAATGTTCATTTTCTTGAATGCTTTGAATGGAAAAACCCTAACTTTTTTTATTCTTATTAATTTGGTTTAATTGATTTTTTTATTTTAGTACAATAATTGAAAATTACAATTTTGCCTCATTTCTTTTTCAATTTAACATCTATAACATATATAAAATCAATCCCCTAACATGTATAACATAGGACAACTAATCAATGTAAAAAAAAAAAAGAGATTAAAGTGTAATCAAGGGAACAAAAAGCTTATCCAAAAGCTTGAAGGGAGAAACTTTTGTTAAATTTTTATTGTCTCATTCATCTCCAAAAACAAAAAGAAAGTTCTAGGTAACTCAATCTATCATCGATAAGAAATCCAACTCAAAATAAACGTTAAAAACCATCCAATCTTAAGCCACTATAGCTGCCTTACTCTTTTCTTCAGTATTGTTGAAATAAATTAAAGCTATCTAGAAGCATCCTAGAGATAGAGGTAGTTGCCAATAAAACGAGAGGTTAGGCAATTTTTTTTTTTTTTTTGCATGTTTAGTTTTCCCAGATTATGAACTTCTAATAAAACTTTTTTAGGTTTAATAGAAGTAGTTGTCGGATGAAATGAAAAGATTCAAGAAAAAAAAGGAAGAGGCTTTTGGTTGGGTAATTTTTCTTTCACCTTATTATT